TGTTTTCTCTTCGTGGTTCACTTTAGATGTGAAATTTTCTTAGATCATTATAGTCTTATCAAATGCTATTGGTGTTGGCAGCTTCACAATAAATGTTGGTCCAGTTTCAAGCATAGTCATTTCAAATAAGTTGAATGGCGTAAACATCTTGAAGGTAATGCAGTCATTTTGTTTTAAGAGGAAGTTTACCTTACTGTTTGTATTTTTTAGGTAATTTGTTGGATGTTGTTGTTGAGAAGGTACAGGTACAGGTACAGGTACTGTTTTAGGTAATTTTCTCTGGTTCTTCCACACTTTTGTCTATGCTCTGAAGTCTTTCATATGTAGGGCTGTGAGAGAGAAGTTGTAGAGTCTGCAAATGGTGTCTCAGAAAGATAGATAAAAAGAACAGAGAAAAAGAAAATGGTTCATCTGACTAGTACCCTTCATATATTGGATTATCGAGAATATGCATAATCACTTAACAATAACTAAATTTGATGACTAGAAGGAAGAAGTTGAGTTAAATGGTGAAATAATAACTGAATGGAGGAAAATGATTTACTTACTTTAACTCAAGTTGTTGGGATATATGATTTGTTGAGTAAATTTGTATACTTAACCTACCTGGTATATGATGGTGCATACAATTGTGTTTATACAGTTGTTTTAGACTAATAGTCATCAATAGATCACTCATTTGGTTTATTATTTTGTAGCCAGCTTCACCTACCACCCTTGGAAAGGAAATTGCAATTTTTGCTGTCAGATTAAGCAGGGAAAGAAGGGATATTTCTCAAGTTGAGATAATGGGGAAGTTTGCCGGTGCAGTTAGAAATTACAATGCACATCTTGTTGCATACCCTGATATTAAATGGCCTCAAATTACAGAGGAGTTCATGAAATCTCTTGGATTAAGTTTCAATCCCTGTGTGACTCAGGTGTGTTCCATGCACAAGATTTCTTCTCACTTAAGTTTTTATTAGGTTTCTTCGTAATTCTTCACAGATCAGAGTAATTTTTAGAAGTTTATCAACAAGTTCTAAGTTAAATGGAAAATGCCTGCTCTTTAAATTTAAAACAAATTGGATTAGAAAAAGCATGCATTTAATGATGAATCATCTTTGTTCATTTATCTTTCTTCACTTCCTTTGTCCACAGATATGAAACTGGGGACCATGTCGGTGTGTACTGTGTCTGTGAGAATGTGATTGACATTGTGGAGGAAGCTAAAAGGTTAATGGATTTATCACCAGATACAAATTTCTTCATTCACACCGATAAAGAGGATGTCACTCCATTTGGTGGTAGCTCATTGCTGCCTCCTTTCCCTGCATGTACCATAAGAACGACACTGACTCGATATGCGGATCTTTTGAGCTTTCCGAAAAAGGTAGGGCCATTGTTTGTTTAGTTATGTGTTGCTCATAATATTATATATGTGAACTCTCATTAACTAATTTGTTAAATGTATGTGTTTTCCAGTCTGCATTACTTGCCCTGGCAGCTCATGCTTCTGATCCAAGTGAAGCCGAGCGATTGAGGCATGTTGCATCTCCTGCCGGAAAGGTTTGCAATTTTTTGGTTCAGAGTTTTCATAATAAAATGGTTCATCCATCATAGTTTTTAACGTTATCTTTCCTATCTACAGGATGAATATGCACAATGGGCAGTTGCAAGTCAGCGAAGCCTTCTTGAGATTATGGCAGAATTCTCATCAGCCAAGCCTCCACTTGGTGTTTTCTTCGCATCAGTTGCCCCACGCTTGCAGCCTAGATATTACTCAATTTCATCATTCTCAAGGTGAATAATACCACAGCCTAGATATTACTCAATTCCAATCTGCTAAGCCTTCTTGAGATTTTGGGTCAGTTGCTAGTAGTCCTGATTCAAATGAAGTGAGAGAGAGGGAGGGAATCCCTGATTTGGAACATGAAAGAGAGACTGAGTCTTTTAGAGAAGTTCACTTGGGGAAGAAGTTGAATGAAGAGATGAAGAACTCGGGAGGGTACTTCCTCCAGGGAAGTGTTATCACAGAAATTCACTGCGATTACAAAACAATGAGGGGACTTCAAAAGAAGTACCAGAAGAACAATATTATGAGGCAGCACATTCTGTTGATGTGAAAGAGGATAAAGGAAGTTCCGATACAATCTCACGTGAATTGGCATGACCAAAAATTAAAAAAAATGGTACACCCAGCTTATATATTTTTTCCTTTTATTTTTTGGTTGCATTTGTTGTTTGATTTTGGTTTAGAAATAGTCATGTAATGTTTGCTTAAATGTAGTCAATATATTAAAATAGCAGTAAAGTTTTATCCATATTATTGTTATTTTTCAGCTTTATTACAGTTATGTTTTTTAGTTAAACCTAACAAAATTAGCACAATTTAAAAATAAAAAAATAAAAAAAAGAAGCTATAACGGCGTTTTTCCAAAACGTCACTACAGTGTCAACGGTCATTTTTAAAATAGGAAAAATCTATCACGGCATTTTTTAAACGTCGCTAAATATTGGATGACGTCATTTTTACCATAACTATCACATTTAGCGGCGTTTTTTTAAAAAAACGCCGCTTATACTAATTCTAGCGACGTTTTTAAAGCGTCATAATGCTATAGCGACAGCTACATCTTCGACGTTTAGTACAAAACGTCACAAAAAGAATTAGCGGCGTTTCTTACACCTATAGCGGCATTTTTTAAATGCCACTAAATATAAAATTTCCAGCAGTGACTAATAATATTAACAAAATATGGGATTTTAAGTCATCGTGTGATGGGGTGCAAGTCAAACATTCATTTATGTTTGTGTATTTGTTTTTTTTGTTTTTTTTTTGTCTCACTATTTTGTAGGTCTCCCTAAATTAAAAAGCTAGTATTATTCAAGGCAAGTATGCTTGGAGTTCTGGTCAAATGATATAGATTTAATTTTAGATAAATTACATCTAGACCTTACAAATATGATTTTTATTTTTCTTGTCACTCGTTAAAACTTATTCTAGTCTACATCCCAAAAAAAGGAAATAGGATCATTCCAACATACCCTATATAGAAATTGAGCTCACTTAGCATACAATTGTGATACGATAAATAAAATTGGGTAAGTTACACCTTATTCTTTTTATGTTTAATTATTTTTTTATTTTGATTCTTTTTTTTTTTTTCAATTTGGCCCTTGATGTTTCATTTTTTTTTTAGTTTACTTCTAAAATTAATTTTTGTTCAAAATTAGACAGAAAACGCCATAATAACTGTCACATAACATAAAAAAATATTATTATATTGAAATTTAAGTTTATGTTAGAGATGCAAGTTATATATAATAAAAAAAAATTTATCTCACATGATTGATAATGTGTCATTTTTTGTCTGTTTTTAATAGAAATTTGTTGTAGAAGTAAATTGAGACAAACTTGAAACATGAAGAGCCAAAATAGAAAAATAAAATAAATAAATAAATAAATAAAATTTAAGGGCTAAAGTGAAAAGTGGTCAAATATAAGGAGGCAAAGTGTAATTTACCAAAACAAAATTACTATTCACTTGTATAAGATAATCATCCTTCTATAAAATTTAAGGAAAAATTAAAAATATATTTTCTGAGATTTGTTTAAAATATGAATTATCTCCTATGATTTGAAAAATTACAAATATCCCTTGTAAGAATTTTTTATTTAATAGAATTAACTGAAAAAATGAAATGCTTAACTGCTCTCCTATACAATAACAAAATTGTCTAAATTATTAATTGAAATAGGTTTCTAACATTATTAAAACCTATTATTAATTTGATGATTTATTAATAAAATAGTTATTTGTTCTGAAATTAGAAATTTCAAGGTACGGGATGTTATTTTCAGAATCACAAAGAACAATTTGTATTTTAATCAAATCTCAAAGGGTGTGATTGTAATTTACCCATAATAAAATAAATACTTAAGAATATAATTATTTGGAAAATGATAAATAACCCCATTTTCTAAACCTACCTTTTAGATGAAATGATGTGTTAATAGGATGATTAATTGATGATTAGAGAAGATACGAAAGAAAATATTGTCTTAAATATTCTAATTAATTGCTACATTTTTAAATTTAAAAAACAAATTTAATTTTTGTACTTGAATAATAATATTTAAATCGTTTTACTCCATTATAAATCAAATGGAATTGTAAAGAAAAGCAATGAAAAGATAAAATGATAAGATATGTCGCATTGCAAGAGGCTGAAAAGATCATTCATTTTCATGAGATGAACAAATGTTTTCCATAAGAACAAAACACAAAAAAAAATTATTCTGATCCAAGAAAAGAATCAATTAAACAACAATAGAGACTACTAATTTAGTGACTTTAAACCCACCACTAATAAGATAGTAAAACGAAAAAAAAAAAAAAAAAAAAAAAAAAAAAAAAAAAAAAAAAAACAAACAAACAAACAGACACAATACAAACTGTGGCAGCGAGATCACTGGTGGTAGCTCTAATTAGAGCTCCCACTCATTTTTCAAAACCATAAATGCACAATCCCAAGCAGACATTAGTCAGAACTCAAAAGCCATGAACCAAATTCAGTTTAGAACAGTTGGTATTTAGATAAAATTTTATACTAAATTGATAATATTAGTTTTATTATACTGAGAATCGATACAGACTGATTTTTTTACTAAACCATATCAAATCACACCAATTCAAATGGTTCAATTCAGTACAGTGTAACCGGTTCAAGACATTTTAAATTTGAGTTACTTTTTAAATTTGTAATATAGTAAATAATTAAATAAAAATATTGAAGTAGAATTAGAAACAAATATAATCTGAAAATTAAAGTTTTGACACCAAATAAAAAACTAAGTTTAAAACTATCATCCCATAAGGTTAAATCACAAATCTATCAAGTAGAATTAAAATAAAAAATTAAAAACAACATAAACATCTGCTATGACTACATTTTTTTTGATCAGCATCTGCTATGACTACATAAGCATAATAGTAGCAAAACTTAACTAAAACACATATAATAATTTATCACATTGCCAATATTTATTATCAAACCTGAAATATTTATAAAAAAATAAATAATTAAGCGAATTAATTGAACTTTATACTTAACAGACTATATATTTAGGTCAAGTTTGAGAAGTCTCAAAAAGTCAAAAAGTTACTCAAAAAGTTAAAAAGTTATCACTATTCACCAAAAGTCAACAATTATAGCTGCACAACTCCCAATTCAAATTTTTTCCTACAAACTAATTTTTACAATTTTTTATTACACATTTAAAAAAAAAAAAAAGTCAAATAGGACCGATTTGGTTTGGTTCTGCGCAACCGATTTTGTCCATTTTTTTGATTTTTTTTACCTCTCTAATCTCCAATCGACGCTCTCCTCCTTCTTCCTCCAACTTGGGAACCACCACCACCGGCTCCTCTTTCGCCACCACCTTCTTCCTTCTCCTCTTCCCAGAACATCCATTCTCCGATGACGGCAACGAACTCGCGGGCGACGATGAAGATCGATCTGCCGATGACCTTTTTCCTGTAACCCGCACCGGCTCCGGCTCACCTGAATTAATCCGGAGCGGAAAATTCAGAAGCGCACGTGACCCGCGCATCCTATACGCCGCAATGTCATAGGCCACGGCGGCGTCCTCCGCCGTCTCATACGTCCCCAGCCAAACCCTGGCCCCATTCTTCGCCGGATCCCTAATCTCCGCCGCGTACTTCCCCCACGGCCGCGTCCTCACTCCCCTGTATTGCCTCCCCTTCGACTCCACCGCCGCCGTCACAGGTGGCGCAACAGATTTCGAAAAGTTACTCATTTCGATAGCAGCTGCGGTGGTGGACGCCACCGCCGGAGTTGGAAGCCTGCCAATGTCCTCCGAATGGTTCTCCTTCAGAGGCAGATCTCCCGAGTTTTGGGCCAGACAAGGGAACAAGTTGTTAACCCAACAGTACTCTACGGGGTTATTGCCCGAGTTCATCGCCGGAGCTTCAAACTCTCCCTGCAAGTCACGATGTATCGAGCACAGCAGAGCGAAATTGGCATTGAAATCACCTTCTGCGTACATGATCGTATCAAAAACAAACACGAGTATTATTTATAGAATTAGAAGTGTAATCGTTTGTGTAGAAATTGAGTTGTGTGCGTATAGGATAAGAGATAGAGATAGAGATAGTGAGCTGATATTTGGGAGAGAAGATGCGTGGGAAATTTATATAGGGGTTGATGGGTTGGGTTTGGGAAAGTTGGTTCATGAACTTGGTTTTGATTTTTGGATTTTTATTTCCCAATTGGGAATTCTTTAATTGTTTTTCTGGATTTAGCTTTACTTTTGTTTTTTCAACGCAAAAAGTATGTATAGATTACGAAAAGAAGAGATTACAAGTTAGGAGATAGTAGTATTAAAGAGGAAACGAAAGACATCGTTTAGGATAGGCATTAGCTCCCCCAATGGGCTATCCTATTTGTAGATCTTGTAGACCATGAGAAAGTCCAAGACCAGCTGCGGCCAAACTGATGAACATCCGATACAACCGCCGTAATCTCCCATGCTAAACTATGTCTTCACTTTTTTTTTTTTTGAAAGTTCTTCTGCAATGTCAGAGTATGAGACTCAGTTATTTAAAAAATATTTAATTTAATTTAATGTTAGTTATAATATATCTGTCATATTATATGTGACTTTTAAAAACTCAATAAAATATTAAATTCTGTTTGTTGCGGGAGTACAAGGGATATCACTACCACTCCAATAAATTAAACTTTTGACAATTAAATTTGGTAATTAAAAAACAACATCAAAATGGCCAAAACGACGTCGTTTTGGCCATTTGAGCCACAGAATTAGGACCCCAAACATTATTCTTTAATTTAATGTTAGTTATAATATATCTGTCATATATATGTGACTTTTAAAAACTCAATAAAATATTAAATTCTGTTTGTTGCGGGAGTACAAGGGATATCACTACCACTCCAATAAATTAAACTTTTGACAATTAAATTTGGTAATTAAAAAAATTTTAATCACCAAAAATTATAAAATTAGCAATTCAAAATTATATTTGTCGGCAAAAATATAATATTTAGCGATTAATTTTTTTTAGTCAGGATATATTGATTATTGGCGACTAAAAAAAATTTTTGTCTCTAAAAATGTCACAATTGACTATTGAAAATTTTTTTAGTTGTCGAATGAAAATCAAAATTTTACTTTTTTGATCGTCAAAAAGTTATTTTCAGCGACAAACAAATATTTTAGTCGCTGTATAGTTAGTTTGGGCTATTAACATTATTTAGTTGCCAAATAAAAAACGTTTTGTCTTTGGCAACCAAAAATTTGGTCACAAAAAATTTATTTTCAGCGACTAAAAAATATTTTAGTCGCTGTATAGTTAGTTTTGACTACTAAAATTATTTAGTCGCCAAATGAAAAACTTTTTTATCTTTTGGCCGCCAAAAATTTATTTTCACCGACTACAAAATATTTTAGTCAATGTATAATTAGTTTTGGCTACTAAAACTATTCAGTCGCCAAATGAAAACAAAAATTTACTTTTTATCTTTGGCGGCCAAACAAAAATTTATTTTCAACGACTAAAAAATATTTTAGCCGTTGTATAGTTAATTCTGACTATTAAAATTATTTAGTCGCCAAATGAAAAACAAAAATTTACTTTTTATCTTCGGCGACTTAAAGTTTGGTCCCCAAAAATTTACTTTCAGCGACTAAAAAAAAATTTCGTCACCAAAGAACTAAAATATTTAAAGAGAGACATTTCAAATTTTGAAGAGATTTATGAAATTAATTGGCGACCAAAATGTTTAGTCACCAAATAACTAGAATAATTATTGCTATTAAATTTTGGTGACCAAACTTTTGGTCGACATATATTTATATTTTGTGACCAAAAAAAAAAATCTAATCGTCATATACCAATTTTTGCCTACTAAAAAATTTAGTTGTCAAATATTAATAATTTTTTTTTTACTTTTAATCTTTGCCAACCAAAAATGTGGTCGGCAAATACTTATTTTCAGTGACAAAAAACAGTTAGTCGGCAATAAAACTAAAAAATTTCATAAAACACATAGATTTATTCTTTGGTGGGAATACTTTCACATTACCGCCCACTTTATTAATTATGATTTATTTTTATTTTTTTTCATATTTTTCTCTGTCTTTACATAACCCAAACAAGTTCTCTCTCTCTCTCTCTCTCTCTCTCTCTCTCTCACACACACGGACTCACCATCGCTGATTTACCATTCATAGTCACTGTTGGTCATCCAATGTGAGTATTCCACCGTCGCTCACTGTCGATCTTCCACCGTCAATCTTCCACCGTCGAACATCATTACATCGCCATCGCCGCTCGCATCGCATCATTTCAACATTGAGGTTTTTCTCTTCCTCTCTTTATTTCTCTTCTTCTCTTTATCTTTGTCCCTCTCTCTTTATGTTGCTCCGTTTCCCTATTTTCCTCTAGCTCCAGTATATATATATTTATGTATCTAGAAGGGAAAAAAAGGAAAAAAAAAGAAAAAAAAAATGAGCTGTTCCATGTGTACATATTTGTTAAATAGATTGGGAAATTAAATAAATTCGATTTTAGATTCTTTGGTAAAAATCAGAATAACTTTCCATATGTGTATATATGTATCTGTTTGCAACATTTATGACATTTGTAAAATAAATAGTGTTTGTTTGCAATATCTTGAACATAATTATTGTACGGGGAGCAAATATTCGTCACTGCCCGTATTCCTCATGTCCAAACTTCGTTTTGCTCTGCATAACTTGAGAACACAATGACAGTGAGCTATCCGGTGGGTGTTTTACCAAAAAACCCCTCCGACGGTCAAGTTAGCACCCTTAGAGAGGAGGAGAAAGAGAGAGGGAGAGAAAGAGAGAAAGAGAGAGAGAGAGATGAGAGAGAGGTGAGCTCTGATCACCAGATTTTCAGACCTCTGCATGGAGGCGCAGCATCGTTTATATAGTTTCTATGCACGCTTCTGCGTCCATTCTCCTCTGGACGCATGGACCTACTCTCCTCTTACGTTCCCCCACGTGTTAACGCTAATACAGCTAAATGTCAAATGACAAAACCGCCAAACAGTATTGATGCGTATGGACAACGAAATCTTCTTTTTGTAGTCTCGTCACGCTGCATAATAACTCCCACCGAGCTATACTTATTGCGATACCACGCCATCACCATATAACCGTGTTACTTGTCCGGTCCCCTCGGTAATTATTGATCGTGGGCTCAACCGAGCTCCACAGTCACGACCGAGCTTCAATCCAGTCGAACTTGATCTTCCGAGGACTAATCCCGTCCAACTTAACTGAGCACACATCTCCACCAGGCTAGTACTCCAAAGTTGTCCCAACTTGACTGGACTAAGCCCATGGTCCAGCACGCACCCAACGTCTAACCAAGCAAGGACCCTTATTCCAGTCCAAATTAGCTCGGCCCACTATTAGGTCATAAGCCTCCCTCTCAATTGCCTCTTAATTCTGTCCACACTAACATGACCGGGATTACATTCAGCGATCAAACTGGAACCGATTCTTGCTTGGCAGCCGAGGTTGAAATCCTAGGGAGGCCTTATCCCGGCCAATGCTTCTGTGAAGGGGGACAAGGAACATCTCATTGCCTTTGATCTTTCTAAATCCCTGTTTCTGCCAACAGATATGATAGAGACCAAGCACGCTCCAGACACCTGGCTTCTCAGGTCTGTAGTGAAATCGATGGCGAGGGTAAGAGCTTCAAATTTTAAAATCTTCCCAATTGTCTTCCTAGTTTGTTTCTTGCTCGGTCTAAACTTCTTCTGGTTTCCTGCAATCTATTTAGAAGACCCATCTTGTCATGGACCTCATTGTCAACTTGCAGCAAAATGTAACCAAGCTGAACGCTGCCAGGAAGAATGTCTCGGCCGAGTTGGGCCGAGCTAAGGCTTCGCTCGAAATCGCGAATACTGATAATACAAGGCTACGTGGTTAGCTCGAAAAGGCCAAGCAAGAGAGAGATGCCTTGAAAGCCGAGCTCAAGGAGGTGAAAAAGGCAAAGGACAAGACGGTAGATGAAGCCAACAACCTCGGTTTCAAAGAGGCTGATGAGAGCTACACAAAGCAAGTCGAAGCCACCAAGGACATCTTCTTCAAGTCTAGTTGGAAGGTAGCTTGTGAGAAGCTTGGTTAAGGACTTAAGACCGAGGTGTTCACCTCTGTACCCCCCGCCTTCGTACTGGGCTACATGGTGCCTTATGCCAACGACGTCTTCAATTCTTTGCAAGAGGGAGCAGAGGCGGACGCCGAGGCCAAGGAAGAGGGCAGTCTAGATGAAATAGACCAAAGGGAGCGTGGCGATGCAACCGCCGTAGTTGACCTGGAGGCCATGGCTGGGGGCATGGACGAATTTGCTGACCTTTCTTCTTTAGTCTAATCTATTTATTTTCTGTCTTTCTGGGTTGAACTTTTGTAACCGGGCTGCTAGCCCCAACTTTTGTACTTTGTAACCTCAATCAATGAAATTTTTTTACAACTTTAGTCTCTTGCAATTACATTGTATTCCTTCTTTACAACCATGCAATATTCTTGAACAATGCATCTATTCATTTTACCGGACAGAGATCTCGACCATAAATCATAAGTTAAACAAGAAATTTCCTCTTTAGCCAGGCAAAACACCTCGGCTACAACCTGGAGTCGAATTGGTCATCAACTCTTTTAGCCGAGCAAAACACCTCGGCTATGAACTTGGAGTCGAAGAAGTTATTGATTCATTTGGCCAGGTAAAACACCACGACTAAGAATTTGAAGTTGAATAAGTCATCAACTCTTTCAACCGAATAAAACGTCTCGGCTATACACTTGGAGCTGGTCATCAACTCCTTTAGTCGGGCAAAACATCTCGGCTAAAACTTGAAATTGAACAAGTCATCAACCCATTTAGCGAGGCAAAACACCTCGACTAAAGATTTGGAGTTAAACAAGTCATCAACTCTTTTGGCCAGATAAAACATCTCAGCTTAACACTGGAGTTGAACTAGTCATCAACCCCTTTAGCTGGGCAAAACACCTTGGCTAAAGATTTGGAGTTAAACAAGTCATCAGCTTTTTTGGCTGGATAAGACATCTCGGCTTAATGCTGGAATTGAACAAGTCATCAACTCCTTTAGCCGGGTAAAATCACCTTGGCTCAGAGACAACTGCCTCTTATTTAGTTCAAACCATCAATCATGACAAAATTTTCAAGTACAGTAATTTGATTTATTTCCACATCTGAAAGAATTTTATTGAAAAATGGAAAGGTATGTCTACTTTCTATAAAAGTAATACAATTTTAAGTTGGCTGCGTTCCACGGCCGAGGTATGACTTGGCCGTCCAAATCTTCCAGACGATATACCACTTTG